TCTGGACACCGCCATTGGCGTCGTTCAAGTGACAGTGGACTCGGCCCGCGGCCTCAAGGGTACCAAGATCGGCGGGGGAACCCCCGATCCCTACGTCTCTTTGAGTTTGAACAACCGCGAAGAGCTTGCTGCTACCAAGTACAAGAGCAATACGTGGGTCCTCCGTTTTGTGTTGCTCGCTGTTGCTGACAGTCTCTTAGGTACAATCCTACTTGGCAGGAGACCAAGTTCATCCTCGTCAACTCGCTCAACGAATCTCTCATTCTGAGTCTGTTCGACTACAACGACCACCGCAAAAATGCGCTGCTTAGCAGCACGAGCTTTGAGCTTGCGCAGCTGCAGGACGATGCTACTCGTGAGGGCATCGAGGGTACTTTGCTCAAGGACGGCAAGGAAAGAGGTACACTGAGATATGATATCTCATACTTCCCTGTCATCAAGCCCGAAGAAGGGAAGGAGGAGGTTGATACGAGTAAGCTCGACTTCTTCACTTGCATCGGCCTTTATCCATTTTTATCACAGGCGTCGGTATCGTGCGACTCACGATCCACCAAGCAAAAGAGCTGGACCAAAGCAAATCGTTGTCCGGCGACCTGAACCCCTTGGCAAGACTCTATCTCGGAGACAGCTCCAATGCGGTCTTCAGCACCAAGCTCTTCAAGCACACCAACGCCCCCGTCTGGGAGCAGGCCTACGAATTCCTCTGCGCCGACAAGGCAGCGTCCGTTGTCATGATCAAGGTCATTGACGACCGCGACTTCCTCAAGGACCCGGTGGTCGGGTACATGTCCATCAAGTTGGAGGACCTGCTCGAGAGCAAGAAGGAGGCCGGGCGCGACTGGTTCCCCCTCAGTAACTGCAAGAGCGGCAAGATCCGGGTGTCGGCGGAGTGGAAGCCGTTGAACATGGCGGGTAGTCTCCACGGGGCGGACCAGTACAAGCCGCCTATCGGTGTTGTGCGACTCCATCTCGACAAGGCGACGGATGTCAAGTAGGGTTTTTTTTACATCCTCCGTTATGGCGTGTCGACTAACCGCATTCAGGAATGTCGAAGCGACTCTCGGTGGGAAGGTGATTCATTTGTGACGCGCCAGTGGGTTTTTTCTCACTGTCTGCAGAGCGACCCGTACATGCGTGTCATGGTCAACAATGTCACCAAAGGTAGAACAGAGGTCATCAATAACAGTACGTCTTTCGACACTCGACGCGTGCCGTTCATTCAAATTGTTTAGATTTGAGCCCGGTCTGGGATGAAATTATCTATATTCCTGGTAATTGTCATTGTTCTGACGAAGAGTCCATGTTTTAACCGCTTTCCTTCACAGTTCACTCTCTCAAGGAGGTAAACGAACTTTGGCTTTCGGACCGTTCTTCCGAGCTTACGTAAACACTCAGACGATGCTTTTGGAATGCATGGATTACCAGCATATGACCAGGGTGAGCCAGTTCGATAACGTAATATCTCTGCGACTAAAAGCGTCCGCAGGATCGTTCCCTCGGCATGGTCGAACTCCATGTCGCGGACTTGGCCCGCGAATCCACCGACCGAGTGTACCCCTTCGAATCGACCGGCAAAAAGACGGGAGCCGACCCCATCCGTCTCGAAAAGGGCAATGCCTACAAGGGCCAGCTGCACTACACCGCGGAATTCATCCCCACCATTGCGCTCGAGGGCGTCAAGTTTGACGCGGCGGAGAACGAACTTCAACGGGTGGCGAATGCGGAGGATCAGGATGGGCAGGACGTCCACCAGCACTCGTCGTCGTCCTCGTCTTCGTCGGGCAAGGATGACGTTCCGTCCGTCCCCACCATCGTGGAACCCACGCACGAAGCGGCTGTTGCGCCGAAGACTGGGGAGGCGAAAGAAGGGGCGTCTCCGGTGGAGCCTGAGGGTGGGGTCAAGATGTCCCAGGACGAGCTGCTTACCCACCGTGCGTATTCATTCATTCTTCGGGGTGTAGACAAGTCCTCATCGTTGCCTCGTTGATTAGAGTCTGGTGTCATCGTCTTCAACGTCCTCTCCGGCAAACTGGCCAAGAAGGCGCGTCTCGAGGTCCTTCTCGACGACGGGTACTGGCCGTGCTACAGCACCATCAAGGCGCGGAGCAATAACGCACAATGGGAGAGTGTCGGCGAGGGCTTTATTAAGGAGCTTGACTTTGGGCGCGTGTGGTTGCGGTTGAATGAGGCGGAGGAGGGCGAGAAGGATGTGATCATCGCGGAGTGGAAGGGAGATTCCAAGGCGTTTTTGAAGTCGACGCTTGTTCGTTTCTTGTTCTCATTGCGACGCCAGATTTTTGATTAAGACGATTGACAGGCCGGACCTCACTCGTTTACGCTTCTGGCCGATGAACGGCCCTCTGCGACTGTCATGATCGAGTCTCGCTATGTTCCTGCTCCTGTGCAGCTCGAGGCTCGCGAGAGTATCAATAGTAAGTTTATTACATCGACGTCCTTGGTTATTTGTTGACTTGGGGTTAAGACCAAGGTACTCTCCGTGTTGACTTGCTCGATGGTAGTGATATTCGTGGCGTTGATCGAGGAGGTATGTTTACCAATGCCCACGGTCGTTCTCACCTCATGATGGATTCTAGGAAAATCTGATCCTTTCGCCTCGTTCACTCTCAATGGCCAGAAGGTTTACAAATCCCAGACGAAGAAAAAGACCCTGACTCCGGTCTGGAATGAGAATTTCACTGTGCAAGTGGTATGTGCATGTTTTTAATTGGTAATCTACGGACACTCATTGAGATCATTTAGCCGTCACGCGTGGGCGCCGACTTCTCGCTCGAATTATCCGACTGGAATCAACTGGGCACCGCGGAAACGCTGGGGACCGCGCAGATCCCTCTCGCCGACTTTGAGCCCTTTGAGGCCGTCGAGCGCACCTTGGATCTGGCCTCTTCGAAGGGGCCGGCTGGCCATGTTCGCGTGCGCTTGATGTTCCTGCCCGAGATCATCGCCAAGTCGCGGAAGAACACCTCCACGTTCTCCAACGCCGGGCGTGCCATGACCCAGTTCGGCGGGCTGCCCGTTAGTGCAGGAAAGGGCGTGCTGCACGGCGTGACTGGAGTGTTCAAGAAGGGCGGGAAGGAAGACGACCATAATGCGCCTCCTCCCGTCCCCGATGTTCCCGCCGGTCAGGCGTCGCACCCCATCGGCCAGCCCGATGCTCTGCACGCCGATGCTGCCATGTCGCAGGAGAATTTGGGTACTACCTCCGAACCTGGTACGCTGCGGGTGACGGTCCTGGACGCCAAGGATTTCTCGTGTGGCGAGTGCAAACCGTATGCTACCATTCGACTCGGGGACAAGGAGTACAAAACGAAGCCCACGCACAAGACTGGTGCGCCTGAATGGTGGGTGTATTCTAGCACTCGGGGGCGAATCTTGCTAACACGTTGATCAGGAATGAGTCGTTCAATTTCGCGGCTGGGCCCCTCACTCCCAAGTTGTTCGTGTGGGTTCACGACCACAAGACACTAGGAAAGGATAAATTGCTGGGTGAAGGCGAGATTGACGTGCGTATACATCCGCTCGCGTGTCCTTGTTTTCTCAGTGCTCATCCGTCCCCTTAGATCTGGCGGCATATTCAAGCAGAAGGTGTCTCTGGTGCTGATGTCTCAGCGGAGTTGCAAGGCAGCGGGTTGATCCGCGTGCGGCTCGAGTTCGATGCATCGGCCCACCCTCCGAATGGCGGTCGCTCGTCCCCCAGAGCGGATAATGGTCGAACCGTCTCTATGTCATCCCCATCTCGCTTCAGTCTTCGGGGCCGGCGCCCCGGAACGGCGGATAGCGATGAATGATGTGTTGGATTGAGCCTCTTGGAAGAAATGAACGTTGAAAACTTCTAACTTATGGACTTATGGACCCGCGTTCCAAGCTTAGGACTGGATAATATAAAAAAGTAATCACTCACTCTGATGTACAACGTAGCAACATATATATAGTTTCTCTTTTTTCACTCGCGTAGCAAATTCCCTTTTCGTTCAATGTGATCTAGTGAACAGGATTACAGATAGATGCTCGCGACCTGCGCGCCGCTGGAGAACGATCTGTGCATGAGGTGAGTGGACGAAACGCGCAAAGACAAGGAGCCAACTTTGCTCTCTAACGCGTAGTTTTCGCGCATTCGCCGTTGAATGTCTGGGATATTATTTTGTGCCACGGCCACCAGATAGAACCGTCCCCGAGGGGAGAGCAGATCCTAATAAGCGTTATTGAGGGAGTTTAGGAGCAAGCACAAGCATACAGCGACCTGCGAGAAGAATCTATCGGTGATTTGCATGCCGTCTTGGCCGCCTGCCCACGAGCCTCCGATGTCCCGGTCGTTCTGCGCGCCAGACGCCTCATCGCGTACCGTCGGGACGTACGGTGGATTGAAGAGGATGATATCTACGGATTTGTGGAGGCGGGCCAGGAGAGGGTGGGCCAACGAAGCGTTTACGAGTTCGAGAGAGACCTTGACACTAAGTCAGTCAGTCGCCCGACTGTCGCGTCTTCATCGTACGCGCCTTGTTCTGACGCCCGGTTGCGGCGCTGCATTTGCAAGCATGGGAGTTAATGTCCGTGCAGAGATATACTGAATGGGTTCCCGCTGAGTCGGGCTCGGCAAGTAAGATTTGGCGGGAACGCACAGAGTGCAGATGAACCAGTGATGCTGGCCAAGAAAGTAGACACACAGCCAGAGCCCGAGCTAAGATTCATCTGAATATTGCAACTCCAGTTTCTGCGAGGAGGTCTGACCCAATTTCGAGTGAGATGCTGGGTTTCAAGCTCGTCAACTGTTCCGCATCTTGCTCGAGGGCGTCCAAGAGAATAAAGGTGTCCTCTGGAGACGTTGACTAGTGCAGTTTGTCGAGACACGGGTTCATACCCGCGGGTTCGTATACGTGTTCATAGTCTTCTGGCCGCAGATGGGTCAAGTCGGGAGTAGGAATCATTGGGATGACGGGGGGGGGGTTAAAAGAGCGGACCTAAGAAACAAAAAAACAAAAGTAAGGCCTTACCCGGGTTCGAACCGGGGCTGCCAGAATTCGATATGACTTCAAAATCTGGACTCCTAACCACTAGAGCATAAAGCCGATGGCGTTCCAGCCGGTACCATTAATTATGGCCAGCATAACGGAGCGTAGTCCAGGCCCTGAGCGCTGAGCTGTCCCCCTGAATGTCGTGTGCCTCAAATCCACAGTGTCAGATCCAGGAGCACAAGATATCAAGTCATTTCTCGCTGTTCTAGACGCCAGAATATTCTGTCTCTGCAAACGACGAGAGGGTTTTCAGAAAAATTGGGGTGGTTTTAAGCGCAACGTCACGTGGTGATCGGCACAAATCGCCTGGGGATTTCTGGTTTTGCGTTTTGGCCGCTTCCACCATGGCTGGCGAGTCCCGCCACGCGTCTGTTCGATTCTCGCTGACCCTTGAACCAGAAAAACCAATATCCATTGTCCCTCTGCTTTCCAGAGCCCTCCACAGAATTCGCACCACTCCGCCCCGTATAATTGCGTCGCCTCCGACTCGTGCGTTCTTTGCTTTAACTTTCTTCGTTCAATTCTTACCCATTTCCTTCCAGAGCCACGCAGAGCCGCCGTGTCCCTCATTATCCGTGTCGTCCCTGCGCCGAATGCAGTCTTTCCCCCAGACGACTCAAATTCCGTCACTCTTTCGGAATTCTTCGAGCTCGACTGGGTCAATGACCCCGCCGCCCGACCCGAAATCCTCTTCTTGCAGCGCGAAACCCCTGCCCCAGAAGACTCTGTGACTAGAATACGCAATACGCACGAGGCACATGTCGCGTTTCCTGGCGGTAGAACAGAAGCAGACGACGAAGGCGGTCTGTATACTGGTACGTGTTTTGCCTCAACTCAACCATTCTTTATCTGACCACAGAGCATGGAAGCCATGCGGCAGACGTGGGAGGAAATAGGGATTGACCTCGCCGAGCGAGATTACACCTGCATCGGACAGTTGGACGACAGGGAGATAACAACTTCGCTGGGAAAACGTCTTTTAATGATCCTCTCGCCGTTTGTCTTCCTCCAACTCACACCACATGCCCCTCCCCCCGACCCCACGGCGTCCACCACCCTGCACTGGACCTCACTGGCGTCGCTCGTCTCAGCTCACACTCCACCAAAATGGTCGACTGTTACTGTTGATGCCGCTTCTCGTCTCGCTCCGAAACACTCCACTGCTCTACGCCTCCTCGTCCAGGTATTGGTCGGCAGCATGGAATTTCCTGCGATTATCGTTCAACCCTCCGCTCCTCCGTCTGTCACTCTGGACGGAAAACCAAACATAACTCACGACGTTCTGGAGAAAGGCATGGGGCGACCCCAGAAGCTAAAACTATGGGGTCTATCTCTCGGTATGACGCTCGACTTGATGTCGTACATGGTCCTACCTGCACCGTCTTCGATGCGCGACAACTCCGAGTCCCACAAGGCCAACTCTGGCTCGTCGTCCCCGCTATCACCCATGGTGCAACTTCCGTATCAGACCGGTGCAGAAGGCATTCGTATGGATGTCGTCGCACCTAGTCTGGCCAGCGTGTTCCCGAGATTTTCGTACCCTGACGTCAATTTCTGGATATGGTTTGTCTTTAGACTATAGCAGCCGGGACGAGTGCTTATTATACATCCACAGGGTGTTTGGCAAGCGGTATCGGGAGGTTGTGCGCGGGTGGGAGGCCAGTGTAAGAGGTGGCGGTACAAATGATCGGCGGTTCGTGTTTTTATTCATTCATATGTCCCGAGACTCACTTTGGATTAGAATAAACTGGTCAGGGTCTGCTCTGAGCACATTTTATGCTGCAATTCGCAAGGCTCTCGTCGTGGTTATCGTCGCACGCGCGCTGGGCGTACTTTTTGGGGTTGCTTTTGCTACTTGGTGGGTATTTGGACAGTAGAGCGATCACACGTAGCTTTTTTATACACGGTTTAATTCGTGGTTTTGGATTTAGTGTAGTGTTTTCTTTGTAACTTGTATCTAAACACCGACATTCACACACCGATCCGCTGGCTCGGCCAATTCAACACTCCTCTATGAACAATTTAGGTGGGGAAAAAAAACATCGCATCTATTCACACCAGTAACCTCCGCAGTCAATACCGTGGTGTATGCATTCTCCAATGTAATGCTCGAAATTGGGGAACTTGCGCATTCCCTTGCAGCTTTCATAGCGAGCTGCCCAGAAATGGGTTCACAAACGCGGTTCACAAAAATGTAGCTTCCAAACCAAATGCCCTTTGTTTAGTGGTCATGGCTCGACGCGCAGAGTCATACCCTCCTGCTCCAATTTTGAAAACTGGGGATGCGAATCGATCACTTGCGCACACCCGGTTCCACACCCTTTCAACAGGAAAGACTGCAGTCGGGCAGTGCCTACCGAGGTTGCGGCCCATCTCCAAACAAGCATTTCCAGCACTACTGCTGGAGTGAAAACATCGTCCTTGTTGTCCTGCGCAATCTTTACGCGCAGCGAACCCAGGTTCGGGAGAAAACGAGGTCGCCCCATAAACTCGCTGACTATGGTATCCATGTCGGCGAGCGTAGCGCCGGCAAATCCGAGCTCGAGTTTTGTGACAGAGGGAACCACATTCAGCCAGTTTATCAAGGATTCCCGCGTTGTCTCGTGCTGCATACGCGTTAACACCAGTCTGTCGAGTTGGAGGAAAGGTTGGGTCAAGAAAAGTGTCAACGGCGCTGTGATATTTGCGCTGTCTTCAATGGCGAGTAATTTCAGAGCGGGGGTGTGTAGGTACTCGAGGATGGCCATGTTTCCTTCATCTCCATCATCGCAGCGTTCACGAATGCCAAGGAAGCGGAGGCAAGTGTGGCGCAAAACGGAATGGGGTAAAAGTGTTGGATCGAAATTTTCGAACTCAAGGCCGCAATTCAACAGGTTCGGCGCGGTGCGGAGGATTTGGAAGAAAGCAGATATGTCGAGCTCCACCACCCAAAGGGTAGCGAGTTGGTGCCACGGGATTTGCAACTCTGAATCATATTTCAGCGTTATATCGCATAGTTTCGGCGCCTCGGAAAGCGATATCTGCAAGTCGCCGTCGCGGTCCAACTCGAGCCTCTCGAGTAAAGGGAACGGCCCGTGCATGGGGAATAGGATTGCCGTTTCCCGTTCGAGGTGGATGTCAATGGCTTGCAATTGTTGCGCCAATCCGACGATGGTTTGATGAAGCGTTCCTACGAGATCCTGTGTGGTACATTCCCCGTACAACTCCAGACCTAGAGGGGTGCTCCGTGCTCTAGAAAGCCATGTTTGGTACATGGCCAGCAGCGCTGGCGACAAAGGATCTAACCCTATGCACAATGAGCTCCAAAGCCGTGGTGCGGAGATGGCCACCTCTCGCCATTCCCGAGAGATGCCACGAAAAATTAAGGGCGCGTCGAAGAGGGAAGGGCATACAAATCCACGTTTGTCGTAAGAAAGACAATAGGCGAATATCTCTGCCAAAAGTTCGGAAGGTAGATGGAAAATTCAGGGCAGCTTGTTGCTCAGTCGGATTTGAAGACGGCTCGGAGTGGGATTGAGACGACATGGGCGTTTAGTTTAAGTGTTGTTCAAGTGAAAAGGAAGGTTCCTTAACGATCTCGGCGAATGCCGGTCGTACTTTGCCGAATGCAGAAACATCTTCGATTTGGGAATATATCACCACATTTATTTACTACAGCGGTAGTCCGCAAACTTCGCAGTCAGTACCGCGGTGTGTGTTCTCAAATGTACAATGAGGGCAGATCCTGATGCCGCTCGAACCTCCAGCGTCTCCTCCGTTCCCTCGCGCTGCAGCCTCCTCGGCCGCAATTTGGTCGAACACTTCCTGCGGGATGTCTTCGTCTCCCGAAGACGCCGTCGGCCGGACCGCTACGCAACATCAGACCAAGGAACGTGCTGGAAAAACAAAGAAACTTACATCCACTCTCCCGCGTAAATGTCATTAGCGTGTTCCAGCCTTCAGTAGCGAGCAGCGGATCCAGTTGACTGAGGTCCTCCAAGAGGGTGGGCGACGATATTATGCGCATCATCAGCTTCACGTCCGCCTAGAGCAAAGATGAGCCATGTGAGGAAGGAAATTCAAATGTACTCACCGGAGAAAACAATTGAGTCGTATCCAAAAAGGCGACAAGATGCCAGTCACTCAACCATGTTGCGAGCGCTCTCCGCTTGTGGGCCTCCCCAGGCTTGGCGGTCCGGCTGTCCCCAATATTCGGTGCGTCCAACGCGGCAAGGGTGCTGATTACCCCCTCTACACGCTGGTCTTCCAGTCCAGGCCGGTTCTCAATGGCAAACTTCGCAGATTGGAACAAAGGCGAGGGGTTTTGAGGGAAGCCGTGGGTGACCTGCCAAAGGATTAGACGTTTTCCTAGTCGTCGACTTCAAACTTACGTTGACCATGAGGTATTCCACAGGGAAGGCGGGTTTGGCGGTCTTCTTCACCTCGAGCCCATACTCATTCTTGAACGAGAAAAAGACGTCGGGCACGTATCTAGCTGCGTCCTGCGTCCGATCCTCCTCCTTTACTCGAACTATGCCGGGGTCTACACTCGCTTCTATCATGTCTGCTTCGACCATAGCACAGGCCTGTTCGGAAACCTGGTACGCCGCGATATCTACCTGCCCATCTTCGGTGGCAGTTAGAATTGCGGTAACCAACCGCGAGGAGAATTGGCCGGTGGGAGAAGACCTGGAAGGTGTGGGGTTGGATTTCTGCATCGTGGCAGCAAAGATTGCCTCGAGGGAAGACATGTAGAAAGAACCAGGGTGCCGCTTGTAAACGTTCTTCGACAGATCGTCGGTCGTTGGCGTCAAATCAGTGAAGATGTACCCGACTACAGTTAGTGGCGTCGAGGCCGAGGCTGAGAGTTCCCGGATACGGGGTTCCTCCTCCCAGGGCAAACCCAGAGTTAGGCCGTCAAGTTCACCCTCTTGTGGAGGTTCATATATCGCCTCAACCACGGCCTTGACACCCATCGGCACCTCGTCGTACGGTTGGTACCGCCCAATCAGCCAGCCAAAACGTTGGAAGCCAGTCGACCGCCAAGCGTGCAAGAAACGGTCGATCACGTCGGT